AAAAACACAGAACAGGATGCTAAGCGTCAAAGAGTTGCTCGCATAGCAGAGGTGTGGCCGGTTTAGCAAAGACATGTACATCTCTATCGCATATACTTAAACATTTTCTGTAAATGCAGGGTTTGCCTCTGGGAGGGAGAGTTCACTGCAACAGTCTGGAAATTCTTTTCACATTATCATACCAACTGGAAATACTCCATACAGTAATAACCCTGTATTTCCCTAATGATCATTGCAATCAACCCCCTACAAATGCAGTTCAACTACAGACAGGTTTAAACCCAAGCAGCCCTGTAAAGCTCAGTTTGATTCAACTCCACGAGTGTGAAAATGTAGTAATAGTTCAGTATAGATTTGTCATGTCGCCATTGTCCCATTTGATTCGATCCCAGACACATTCAGAGGTGTGAACGCTCTCCAGTTGTGGTACCAGGTGATTTACAAACTCCACACCTGCATAGGAATTCAATTACACACAAAACTCTCTGGGTCAAATTCCCTGGATCAGAGCAAAGCTGAGAATTGAACCTTTTATGAAACAGTCCAACGAATGGCTTAAGTGCTTCCATGAAAACCAACAGGGTTTGTATTTTGAACACACACTGCTCACAGTAGAGAGGAGTTGCCCAGCACATTACATGTTCACAGACATGGTCAACGTAAAAAAAGAAAGAAGAACACATATATACATACGGACAGGTAGAGCAACCCCAGACAACACTTTGGCGCAGAAAGGATTCCATTGGTGTCACTGCACAGGGTGAAATATACAATATAATGCATTTTTGTATTATTTAGTAAGCCAATCGTGGACTAATTGCAACACTCAATTCCTTTTTTTAACACTGGAAATAACACTATGGTTGATTGTACATCAGAAAGAATCAAAAAGATACAATTGTTTACTAAAAATAACCAATAATTCCCAAATGTAAGATGCTGAAACTCCCCAAAACTCTCCATGAATGTTCCATGAAGACTCTCATTGATCTCTAGGATGTTTTAACACATATTTAACAACTTTTTTAACAAGACGGGGCTGTAGTTTGTGCATTATTTCTGTTTTCCAACCCTAACCCTAATCAAACTACCAATGGAATCCAGTTTCTGTAAAACACTTCACATTGACTCAAACAGATCGAGGTTTTTCTGATTCTACTGCAACTGAGATTTCCTTTAATGACAACCTGGCAAACAACCAGTGAACAGTGGTATCCTTTGAAATGTATTGGTCGGTAATCTAATAATCATGTGTCCTATGTACTGTATAGTGAAACCTGATCTAACCAGTAAAAATGCATATTATTGAAAATACAACAATGTAGTATTGGTAGACAACAGGTGCTCGAAGCAGATGCATCCATTGGAAATCAGCAAGTTCTGAGGTACTTCTGAAACTCACAGCTGAGGATATACTCACTATCTACAATATTTGGATGGATAGCATATAGTCGATACAGTAAAAGCGAGGGTTATCATTTAGCGAAATATTTTGGCTTTGAATTTGATAAGCTGAGGGCGATAGTAGCGGTTGACACACCTGAATAAAACATAGCCGTATGAGGATAACAACATAGAAGAACAGCACCATTTGAGGTCCGATAGACAGATCAGATTTTGAACTGTTTGCTGGTAGCACCGTCAACCAGTACAAATCTCAGAATGCAATACAGAGACAGAACACAACCACTGATCAACTGCACGACATAGCAAAGAGCGAAGATATATATTCGGAGACGACCCGTCACGCAGACACCCTTCAGCAGCATCTTAAAAGCAGGTAATAAAACTGATTTCTCCTAAGAATGATATTGTGTACTGAGGTGTTTTACAAGTTTTATATGCTGTACATGTTGAGAGTAACCAGGTATAGCTATTTTATTTTTTAATATACACACAAAGTTTTACAGTCACTGACAAACAAACACCAGAGTAACAATGAGGTAGGACGGTGAAGTTAGATGAAGTAGAACCGGTTTGTGGATTGTATACAAAGTTACTGATACCTTAAGAAAAATATAGGCCTGACAATGTGTTTACTCCTTTTGAAGTAAGTTTGACATTGTATCTGAGGCTCAGACGGTAATGTGTTTTGTGTACTTAGTTGTGAAAACTGCTAAATCACATCGTTTATCTTGTCTCACACAGTGAAGTTTCTTTTTCCCCCCCTCGATTTAGAAAGCGACATAAAGCTTCTGAAGCTTTGACAAGTAAGCCAAAACGCCAAGAGATGAGGACAGGATTTCGCGATTATCTCGATACTACATGTGCGTTTTTAAAATCCAGTCCGTTATAAATGACAGGAGAGTAAGGAACGAGAGGTGGCACAGGAAGAGGATCACAGAGCCAGAGAGGTTACGTTTCCTATCCTACCGCTACTTGAGTGTGACAGTGAGAGTACTGGAAGGTGTTGTGTGTCGTGTCTCAGAGCCTAAATCATCAATTAAACTCTCTGCCAGGTTGTGTACTGGTGTACGTTACTAAATACGCTGCTACAACACAAACTGCTCCTCTGCAAGTGATAGAGATTGGCCTTGCCTTCACAGATTAAGCCAAATCTGGGTTAAAACACACAGTACGTCCAATACGGCTTTCATCCAAGAAAGATGGTTTTAGTTAAAGGATTAGGGCTTAAATCGCGCTCCAGGAAACCAGCCTTTGAACAGAAGTTTCAGATGATGTAAAAGCTCTATTAATGCTCCATCTTAAAGCATTATTTTTAAACCGCACCCCCTTTTGGCATCAAACAACAAAGAAACAAACACAAACACAACAAACACAACGTGTCAGAGTTTCAGCATGGTTGCTTTGCACAGCAGAAATATTTTCTTTTAAACCGCATGTATTTCAAATACACGCAAGCGCACATCAACCTCACATGTTGCTTTGTACAGGGAACACAAATAAGAAAGGGTTGTTTTTTTTAGGAACAAAAAAAAGATAATGTCACCAATTTGGTGTCTTAAGATTCACTAGGCGCTATCACCTTGGCATGGGCCATCTTTTGTGCAAACCGTTGCTGATTCCTCCATCAGCACCCCCCCCCCCCCCCCCCTTCTTCTTTAGCTTGATCTCAGCATTCAATACTTTGGCTTACAATCACCACTCATTTGTAAAAAATACACAATTATCTCTATACAAGTCATATCTATGCAACACCAGCATCTTCACACATTAAGTTAAAGCACATATTCCAGTCAGCTTGCACATTTCAGAGGTTAATATCTTTGACTGTAGCTTGCCAATTTTGTCAAGAAAGCCATTTTTTGTTCACGAGGCTGTGATGGGGTTTTAAAAAATCCAGTTTCAACACAGTTTGACTTGTAGAAATCTGGTTTTTAAAATCTTCCAGTAAGTAAATATTGAGAAGAAGTCGTAGAATTACTTTTTGTTTTGAAGCATTGGTATATCGGGGTTATATCTGAACACAATTATATATCCCATCTTGCCATAAAAACAATAAAACCAAAATGCTCTAAGGTGCTTTATGATAATACTATGATTGTTGGGCTTTATCTATAGAGATATTTAGAAAAAGGAATTTCTTTAAGATTGGAGAAATTGCCCAAAAGTTTAAAGTGCATTCAATGTAAGATCTAACTACTGCATCCCAATTGAGTACAATGGTTGAACCATATCAGTTCTCATTTATCTGTGGCAGATCATTAATGAGGATAATTACATATTGGACTCTGTTTAAGGGAAGCTTTGTCTCTCTTGTGCCACAGAGATCACTTTGGCTAAGATATATATTTTTCATTTGTTCGTAGATTCCTACCGAACTACATTTGGATACAACATCAAGCTTAAAGCCAACAATTCATATGGAAAAATATATATAAAAAATAAACATCAGGTAACATGGAATAACAACATCAATCAGAGAAACCAACACATGACCAGAACCTTAAAAACTGTAATATGTAAGATGATTAGAAACTGAAATACCCATGTTTAAAAAATAGAATATGTACACTGAAATACCTCCAGAACAAAAAGGTCGCTTAACAAAAAGGCTGATCTTGAAAAAAAAAAAACAGAGACAGACAAAATGATAGACGGAAATAAACGGAGAGTGTAGAGTAGAGGAGGAGAAGGCTTGATGGGCAGCTCTGCAGCAGATTCACAGTTAGCTACAGATGGGTCACAGTTGAGATTTCAATCTGCAGCGTTTAGTTCCAGCCTGCAGACCGCCACACAAACCATTTTGGATCCAAACAATAAAAACAAGTGGAGAGAGGAAAGAAGAAAAATACGAGGACATTTTTCAAAGTTCTGACGGAAACTGTCACTGGAGCGACCTTAACTTTGTTCCCCAGTGGCGTGGCTATAAAAAGAGAGAAGGGTTATTGTGGGGTTCACCAAGCCTTCAGATAGTCCTTCAGACAGCTTTACCCTCAGCTAACACTGCTTCCACATCAATGAGCTGAACCGTGCCCCCTCTCCTTTAAAGGTCCCCTATTATACAGGTCTCAAGATATATACAAAACATGTCTCTGATTGGCTGAAACACCAACCAGATCATTGCAGCATCCCATAATCCCCTCTGTTTCAGCCCTGTTTCCAAAGTGCTGATTCTCTGTCTGTTACTTTAGAAAATGAAAATAAGGAGCCCCTCCCCACGCCCCTCTGAGAGAGATTTGGTTAAAAAGAACACAATGGTGCCCTAGGAGGAGATTCAGGTGATAAGGGGGGGGGGGGTTACCTTGGTTGCTGATTGGCTAATGGTTACACAAGCCAAAACATCGTTATGACATCATAAAGTGGCCAAAATCTGATCAGCTCAGGTTTTTATAGAAATGGATCAGGACAAAAAGAGAGAATCTTTCTTCCTGAAACTTTCAGAGTCTCTTTCCACAGAGGGGACACATGTTGATGTAGAAGAGACATGAAGAAGAGGGGACACATGTTGATGTAGAAGAGACATGAAGAAGAGGGGACACATGTTGATGTAGAAGAGACATGAAGAAGAGGGGACACATGTTGATGTAGAAGAGACATGAAGAAGAGGGGACACATGTTGATGTAGAAGAGACATGAAGAAGTGGATTTTGCACAATAGGTGACCTTTAACTAAAGAGGGGAGGCAGCACGTAACTAACGGTGTGAATCACACAGTAAATAGTACCTAGTAGCCAGCCACCTCTCACATTCTCACAGCAAAGTGCAGGTGAAGCTAAGTCGCTTCAGCTATACATTTACAATCACAGCTTACTAGAAAACCCAGAGGCATAGCAGCCCCCGGTGATTGCCAAATCCATTTAAGGCCTTTTCTAGGCATCAGCGTGCCTGTACCGCTACAACTCATTAAACAGTCAAATCGTCTCAAAGTGACTCGTGAGATTAACACAACAATATCCCACCCAAACCTTCCTCACTGATTGCAAAACCCTAAAACATAAAAAAACTAATATAGACTGATACTATCCATCTAATCTCTGCAAGTCGACTTTTTAATAAACTGACCTACAGCTGAGGGGCGCACACACTTATAATTAATCTCTTAGAGCAACAGAATCTCCGTTGCAAAATACAATATGGCTGTTTTCAATTAAGACTTGTGCATTGAAGACCCTGATGGCCCATTGTATGCAGGGAGTACCAACAGCATCCCGTCAGTAGTCACCAAAATATCCACAAGTTCTAACGCATGCTAGCATCATCATCTTTATAGCATCACATATACTATATCCAGGGAAATAAACCTCTTACTTTTTAAAAGTGTAAAGGACTCAAAGCTATGTTCTGACACAGAACAATAAATCAATTTAACAGTTACATCTAATCTCTCCGTTTGACACAAATGCACACGATAATGACCCATGTCTCGGTACCAGTCCCACTGTAAAGCTTATAAAAACACTCAGATCCAACACACCTCTCGCTGCGGGGTAAAGCTGTCTGAAACCTGGGCGCTGGTAGCTTTGAAGGGGTTTCTTTTAACGTTTCATAACAACTAATCCAACGTGTGAAATAAAAATAACTCCTGAAAGTGTGACAAACATCCCCCAAAGCGGCGCGAGCACAGCTGATCCCTACATCCCGTCGTAGGTGAAGCTCTCCATCTTCACAGTCTGTCTGATGAGCAGCTTGGACTCCCGCCGCTCCTCGTTCTTGATGGACTTGTTGATGTCCATGATCTTTTCGCAAATGTATTTGTTCACTTTGGACAATCGTTGCGTGATCTCCGCACTGTCGGCCGTCTCTTGAGACACTCGGTCGTAGAGACACTCTGTGGGAGGAGCCAGTGTGAGTACAGAGAGTTAAACATGGGTTAAACATTGTGGGTTATTTTTTCTTTGTGAATTTGTTGTGTGCAGTTAGAATATAATATACATACTTTGTGACTCCAAAATAAACAATACAAAAGAAAGGATCATCATTTTTTCTCAGGTAGATCAAGATTTGGTTTTAAAAACACATAAAAATATAATTGTATATTTATTATCGTGGTGCTACAGAGACATTCAGGCATATTCAGTATCCTATAAACTCAATAAGAAATCCTTATTTGGCTCATATCCTCCTAAAAAAATTGAACTGATTTGATAAATGAACATTTTAATCATTTTAATATATTTTTCAATGATAATTTAATTGTTAAAAAATAATGTTTCCATCTAATATCACAAAGAATATCGTCAAAATAATCAGAATGACTTTATTTTCCCCAAATTGTGCAGCCGTACTAGTATCTAACAAATATAACTCCATGACTTTAAGGCGGTTTGAAAAAAGGGAATAATGTTTCTGTTCCTGAAGTTTTCCGACTTGTCTCAACTTGCTAAGAATTCCTCTGAGCAGAGATTGATCTCCTGCTCAGTCTTGATTTTTTTGTTTAAAGCCAGGCAGAGGTGGGAAGTAGTGGAGAGTACAAATACTTTGTTACTGTACTTAAGTACATGTTTCTGGTATCAGTACTTTACTCCACTACTTATTTTTCTGACAACTTTTTACTTTGACTTCTTACATGTTGAACACAAATACCTGTACTTTCTACTTCTTACATTTTGAACACAAATACCTGTACTTTCTACTTCTTACATTTTGAACACAAATACCTGTACTTTCTACTTCTTACATGTTGAACACAAATACCTGTACTTTCTACTTCTTACATTTTGAACCCAAATACCTGTACTTTCTACTTCTTACATTTTGAACACAAATACCTGTACTTTCTACTTCTTACATTTTGAACACAAATACCTGTACTTTCTACTTCTTACATTTTGAACCCAAATACCTGTACTTTCTACTTCTTACATGTTGAACACAAATACCTGTACTTTCTACTTCTTACATGTTGAACACAAATACCTGTACTTTCTACTTCTTACATGTTGAACCCAAATACCTGTACTTTCTACTTCTTACATGTTGAACACAAATACCTGTACTTTCTACTTCTTACATTTTCCAAACAGGCTGGTTCCTTTAGTTTGAATGTGTGTTTGGTGGCGTGATCATTATTATTTAGAGTCATTGCGTGCCTATTGATTTGAACACGATCCGTGTATCCATCATTTCCTGGTCTTCTCTAAAGAAGAGGGACCAATGAAAACGTTGTCATGTTGCCGTTGTTCAGCATGGAAACATTCATTTGCTAACAATGACATTATTGTTCTATTAATATAAAGGGAGGTCAGGTACTCTTTAAAACAGCTGCTAGTTATGGGTACTTTTTACTGAAGTACATTTCAAAGCCCTCTTTACTTTTACTTGAGTAAAGAAGTTTAGTCAGTACTTCTACTTTCACCAGAGTATTTTCAAACACCAGTATCTGTACTTCTACTTGAGTAAAGGATGTGTGTACTTTTGCCATCTCTAAAGCCTGTCTCTTACCTCTGACGATCTTCAGTTTGCTCGGGGACAGCGGGGGTTTGGGCAGCGCGTCTTTCTTCTTCTTCGTGGCCACTCCCGTGACGCTGCGGTTCTTCAGGGTCTCTGTCCCCCAGATCATGACTGCCAGGTTCTTTGTGAACTTGGAGTCTCCCTGGGTGCGCTGCAGCTGGTGCCACTTCTCCTCCTCCACCCAGATCCCTCCGCCTAGGTGTACCTGCAGAGAACACCACCTTTAAAAACATGTGCAACCACATTCTGCTGTGAGTGTCTTCTGCATAGAGCCAGAACATGTAAAAGGTCTAATGCAGGAGTGTCCAAACTCTTTTCACAGAGGGCCACATACAGAACAATATACGAAGGGCTGGGCCACTCACTCGAGGTGAGGTTTATCGCCTCATAAGTTCAGTTAAAAGTCAGCAAAATCAAATTATTACTTGAATATGCTTTAAGAAACAAAACAGATACATCACAGCTCTCCAGAGGGTTTCATTTATTTAGTTGGCAGCTCATTCCTTAAAACAGAAGCTTCAGATTGCTGATAATTAGGGGAAATATGAAGAGTATATTTCACGCTTGTTATACAAATAAGTTATTGGGCTTTTTTCTTATCAACTCAGATTTGTTAGGAAATGTTTTCAAATGTAATTGACTGAATTCATTTAAAAAGTGGGCTTCTTAACACATGAAGACTACTGTGTAATATATGTTTACATATATATTTAAGAAGTACAATACAAGACAAGCACAAGTTTAATTTGTGGGCCGTATTTCATTATACTTTCAGAATTCGCTGAGGGCCGATTCAAAATGGTCTAATGCTTCAGTAAGCTACAAGCCATCAAGAAAACTGCGATCCTCTGCTGCTGACGGTTTATTAGAAGTTCCCAGAAACAGCGATAAAAAGAAGTTTGGTGACGCAGCTTTCATTAACTCTGCCCCAAAGCTATGGAACAAAATACCTGCAGACATCAGGGAAGTCTTTAAAAAAACAAACTCATAACACATTTAGCCTTTTAGGAAGCAAACTCCTGCTCTCTGCTGCACTTTCTCAATTTAACTTGTCACCTGATTGGGTGTTGAATTTGCACTATCCGCCTTTTAATGCACAATTTCATCGTTGTACCTTTAAATAATAATAATAATAAAGATTATTATTATATTATTAATGCCTTCTGGCTTTTACCGTTTCAGTTTTAAAACAACAGCCCACATTGCTTTACTCTGCAACACAGTGTCATGCAAGATTCAGACAGTACCTATAAGACATCTGTGTCAGCAACAATCACTTACTTTTAATGTAGTTTCTATGCCTTTATCTGTAAATATGTCACAAACCATTTTAGCAAACGCTTCGTACACGTCTAAACTTCGTCATGCAAGATTCAGACAGGACTAAGAAATATGTCTGGGGAAAACAAATGCCTTTTTTAAATAAACAAACAATATTTAAGTTCCCCAAGGCGCCTGTCACGATAGCACAAACATCAAGTTATTGTATGATACAATGACATCCTTTAAATGATTTGTTTGTGTACAGCTTCGATGACAAAACTATTCTGTTAAATCCAAATTAAATTACGGAGGGTTGTGGATGCTCTGAATAAAAAAACACTTCCCACTTTTGTTCACAAAGGTCCTAACTGTTGAGAGACTTCTGGGTAGTATAGTGCCTGTTGAATACATGACTCGATGTTTAATATTCATTTCAGTTCAATTTCAGTGTTAACAGTGCCCTCAATTTGATTAGTTTATTGTTTCAATCGTGTGGTTTTATAACAAGTTCCTTTCTGTTTCAAAGGGTGCATTTGATTAAGAGGCTGCTATATTATCATGGAAGGAATACAAATGGCCTTACATCATAACTATAACTATTTCTTCAATAAAAAAGGGTTCAGAGTGAAAGGCGTATTACCAAACTGTTACAAAACCTTTAGAAGTTTTCGACTTGCTCGAATTCGAATTGCGAATTGCTCTAGTAATTTCCTAAAAAACAACACAAACAAACAAAGCTTAGACTCAGATAAACACATCTCGTTGACCAGTGGCGGCCGGCCCATAGGGGCGCTAGGGGCGCCGCCCCCCCTCTTCCCACATTAAAAATAAAAAAATAAAAAATAAAAAAAATATATTTAAAAAATATATTTTTTATTTTTATTTTTATTTTTAATAAACAAGGTAAATATTATATAATTGGTATCAGTAAAATGTATAATCTACAATAAAATCTCGTTTAAAATTGTGTTACGATGTCTAAAGTTACTGATAAGTCACATGTTTCCTGCCTGGCCTTGCCCATGTATCATTACTCACTCTCGTCTGGGCGCTATGCACAGCGCCCAGACGAGAGGGCAGCAAGTGCAGCAGAAGCCAACTGTTGCTATCTTTAAACTATGCCGCCGAAACATAATTTCAGCCAATCAGCGTCGTCAAATCTGATGGTCACAGGGCTCCTTCGTGAGCGCCCGGTGCAGTCTGTGAGTTGTTTGGACTCGTATCCAAGGAGACAAAACAGGAAGCTGTCATACACTCTGGAAGCTACCATTTAGCAGCTAATGAAAACTCCGTTTTTTACATAAAAATGGAATTATGGATCATCAATCATTTTTCAAAGTGACAGACACATTGGATTAACCTATGGATTAACCTTCAGCTGCGTTTTTCTCGTTTTTGATCAGAATTGTTATTCTGCAAAAGGTGAGCATATCTCCATGTTTTGCTACCTAAAGCTACGTTGTGTGATGTCTGTATTTGCTTCCCCTGTCGCGAGTTCTGATCGCTCAGTGATGATACTTATATTTCTAGAATCTGTGGAATCTCAGCTTGTTAGCATAAGGTTGTTTGTGCATATCCGATAAGTATATTGATTGATTTATACCTAGAGTGCGTTAGCATTTTTTCGCTCAGGGCTCATTTAGACGTTTCTTGTGAGACTAATGTATTGTTTCGGTAAACATGGTTCATATGATCAGTTAGATGCGTTTCCTCTGAGTAGGACACATGAATAGTTTATTACATTTTAAGAAGCCCTGAGACACAGTTTCGTGAGAAAAAAAACAGGGGAAAAAAGCCCCTTAACAGGTTAAATGGGAATAAAATCAGTGTTCCCAAAGCCCCGGTGTTCTGCAGTTTGTGTGGGCCTACTGTACTGTTGCACAGTTTATGCTGTAGAAACTATGTCCAGGACAAGGTGTTTGGAAGTTTTGGAAGATTCATAGTTAACCACACTGAAGTTATGGAGGTATTGATCAGTCTTCTCATATTTTTAAGCCTCAAATTGTCCTTCCCCCCCCCTCTCTAACATCACCAGAAGTCATCATTTAGGGGGTCTTTTCTCAAAAGTTTTTACCGGGGGAGCATCCCCCCGGACCCCCCTAGTATTGTTTGATCACCATTTCCACAGCCCCACCTAAAATATTTTCCACCAGTCGCCACTGTCGTTGACGTTGCTTCAACATCTTCTTGGGCATGACATTTAACAGCAAAATCAAAGTGGTACAGTTTGTTGATAAGACTGGAAGTAAAGGTGGCAATTTCATTAAAGGAAATGTATGTTTAAACTAAATGTATGCCACAAGTGACGATGAGGGAAACAAAATAACTCAGCCTAAAACTGAATTTGTTACCAAATGAAAGCACAAGATTTTACTGGACAAAAACACATGTGCTGTGGCTCAGTGGATAGTATGATGGACTTCGAATCAGGGGTTAGCAAGTTTGAGTCCCACTGCAGTCAGCATGTCGTTGTGTCCCTGGGCAAGACCCTCCTTTTGATCTGGGACGTTTGTGTCACCAATTCTCCATTTAGGTGGAACATATTTTTTCTTATTTTTTTTTAATGTCATTATAGGGTTCTTCAAATAGTTCTCTATGTGTTTTTTTAATTCATTTTTTTACTTTTATGTATGCACCACGACATCAAGTCAAATTCCTCGTACGTGTCAACCTACCTGGTAATAAACCGGATTCTGATTCTGATTAGCTAAATGTTAAACCAGATCATAGGTTTCTCAAGGCAGCTCCTATTGAGACCAAATAACAAATCCTAAGAAGCACCACTTTCACTAACCAGGATACATGAATAAGCTCAGGCCTGGATTACCTCCTGTAGCTCCATACACACTTCCAGCGCACGTTGCGTAAGTCAAGCCGATTTCCCGCCTATCTAGACGACCGCCCTGCTGTTCTAGGTAAGCTAATGCATCAAGAGGAGGGGGGGGGGGAAGCATATGTGACTTTCTCTTCTCCGCTCTCTTATCACTGTTAAGTCTTTAGGCCGGCATCCAAAAGGCTTTTCCCCGTGCAGCTAATGTGCTTTAGGCTCCGGGCCAGCAGACAAGCCCTTTACTGCCCTTAAGTTAGACAAGATTGTTTTCATCCTCCCTCTGCTCTCGTTTATCTCCCTCCTTCCCTCCATCTCTTCTCCTTCTTTCTGTTGTCCCTCCCTTCCCCTCCCCTCCTCTCTCACTGGGGCTAACCTGTCACTCACTTTAAATTCCTCTCGTGCAAATAATTAATATGGGGTCCCTGATGTAGGACACTTCTAATTTGCAAGTGTTCTTCACGCTTGAAGTGGCTTCAGGCCCAAGAGCTTGTAGTACCAATTCTAACCCCCCCCCCCATCATCAGAGACAGGACGCTGGGTGAGTTGCAGCGGGAGGAGGGGTGAGGATGAGGGTGGGTAAAGAACCCTAACAGGCTAATAAACACTGATGATGCTGACTGAGCTTGTAGGAACAACAATAATCTTCTCAACCTTGCTTACCGGCTAAAGGACTGATCGACTGACGGCAGGTTGCCAGGTTCATGGGAGGTAAGAGGAAACACAGCATTTCCTACAAATCAGTAAACACTTCCCACGGACGAGAGGGGAGGGATACAAGGGAGGGAAGGGAAGTCAAATCAGGACAGAGAGGGGGAGAGGGTGGAGGGATATTCGGTGAATTAAGGGTGAAAGTCACTATGTGTAGTTTGATATTCGACCAGATAAACGGGTTTATTCCTGTTGTATTCACTCCTGTGTTTATCTACTTCTGTCCATATAAAGTGTTTTTATTCATCAAATAGTCGTATGCTCTGTTTATGACCTGGGAGAGGGGTTAGGAGTGTTTGTTTTTGTTTATTGTTTTTGGTTTGTGAACGACGGGGGAGAGGGTGGTGGGATATTCGGGGAGTTAGGGGTGAAGGTCCCTATGTGTTTGACATTCGACCAGATAAATAAAAAGTGGTTATTGTAGTTTTATTCAATCCTGTGTTTTTTTTTATTACTGGACAAATTTCATTCGATTCTATTTCAATGTAAATACTGCAAATAGTTTTCCATCTGTGTTTTTCATTGTTGTTTTACTTGTATGTACGACACCAAGTCAAATTCCTCGTACGTGTCAACCCACCTGGTGATAAACCTGGTACTGATTCTGATTCACCTCTGTCAATATCGAGTGTTTACTTTCATCACAAAGTTGTACTGTATGCTCTGTCTATGACCTGGGAGAGGGGGTTTATTTTGCTTTTGGTTTGTGAATGACTTTCTGTTATCTTTGTGTATGGAAGGTCCCTACAAATAAAGTCTGATTGATTTAAATGATAAAAAGTATATATGACGAAGAGAAAAAGTAGACAAATAAAAAAATTCAGTTTTTTGTTGTCTTTCTAAATTGACAATTGTTCAGGCCTGTTTCACTGACTGACAAACTAATACTGACAATCACTGTTTCAGTGAACATCTGATTCATTTGTTGAGCGACAGCATTGTTTCTAGTTTGAATATTGGAGCTGGGGATTCCCTTTTTCTTCTGTAAGTGATTTAGTTTTCAAGAAATGATGTCAACAAATACAAGAAAGGAAGAAAACACCACCTCGACTACATGGAAGTAGACAAGTGGTGAAGTACAGACCGACGTAAGGGATAATGTGCAGCGACTTGGTCATTATGGGGAAAAGAACACCCGACAGGCTGTTCAGGAGCCCGACGCGAAGCAGAGGGATCTTGAACCCGCTTATTACACGGCCACATTCTCAACAAAGTAACGATATGACTCCCAATATTAATTGACATGCTTTTATAGATTTAGAAAATGTAGTAGGCTATTATTTATTTAAAATGACATGCATCCGCTAAGAAAAATAGTCCGTTGTTACCGTTTGAACTACGTAGCAATGCCAGGAAGTGCTTCGATAGCGTTTTTGACCTTTTTGATTACAGATTTGAAAACATCGTTGCTTGCTTTAAAAGTAGCACAATTCATTATGTCAAAGCATGGGAAGTATCTAGATATCCCTGCCCGAATGCCACAGTAACTGGCAACTGAATATGTTTTGCCGTTTGATGTCTATGTCTGGACCGCTGCGTAAAAAGGAGGGTTTCTGCCCCGTTACTTCTCCGCTGTTTTCTTGTCCCTCTTGTCTTGGCCAAACTGTATACAGTTAAATCGACCAAACTTCTTTCTGCAGATGTGAGCGTCCTTAACAACGGTCAATAAATCCTTGACAGCGGTCTGTCTGTTCTGGATTAACAACGTGTCACGTGTTCTGAATTGACCAATCAGAATCGAGTATTCAACTAAGCCATGTAATAATATGAGTTAATACTAGGGATGTCCCGATCACCTTTTTTTGCTCCCGATCCGATTCCGATCATTTGATTTTGACAATCTGCCGATACCGATTTTTCCCGATCCGATCTTTATGCAATGCATTAAGAGAAAAAAAGGTAACAGATAACGGCTGGTCATCCAACGCGATGAATTCAGCTATCTTGGCTGTTATTTTTTTGGGCCTTTTCACTGTTCTGGGGCAGTTTCTCTTTCCTTTTAAAAGTCTCTGAAAGTGTTGGTTGTTTCAGTGCCGTTACCTGAGTGGCCGCTGTGTACTCGTCGTGTTGTTGTTGGTGTTTGTATTAGATTGGTAGTGTTGAACGTAGCTCTGTTCTTTCCACCACGCGGAACCTCCGCCTTGCAAACATTGCATCTGGCTGTTACACTGCCTTCGCTTTCAATTTTATAATACTTCCAAACTCCTGACATTTTCTCTGTCCCGACTCCCGAGTCACCAGCTGAACGTAGCCTCTCGTTGGCTTACTGCTACTATTAGACACTGCGCCCACTCTGTCGCCAGATTTGAGAGAAATAAGCAACCAGGTCTATGAAAACAAGCCCA